AGAGAAGATTAACCAAGCAAAAAGCTAGCTATTTGACGAGACTAATGCAATTATGAAGACCTATTAAAGCTGTAAAGAAACATCAAAGGTTACACAACAGTATCTGGAATAAAAAAAGGGGGCATCACTACAAATCATTTTAAATTAAAAGATGATAATCATATATCACTAACAACTCATGCTGATATATTTGAAAAAGTAGGGGAATGGGTCCATTTCTTGAAAAGCCCAACTCAACTAAACTGAAAATTTAAGAAATGAAAACTCCAGTGAATCCCACATTTATTACAGATACTGAATCTGTGACTAAAACCCATACACAGGAAAAACTCTTCACACCAGTGAAGCATAGCTTCACTGGTGAATAAAATTTAGAATACTGGTTACTATTATAGGAGGAGGCAAGATAATGATTGAAAAATTATTATTGAAAAATTATTCTTACAATACCCCTCATAATAAGGAAGTTTCCATGTTACTGGTTGTCTTGGTATCAGTAGCAGTTACTTGGGAAGGTTCATTTAGCAAAAATTCTACCAGGCTTTTCATTCATTTGTCACCTTTTCTGTGTTCATGCTTCACTTATATACAAATGTTAGATACATACAGACATGCTGCAAATATATGTTTTATTAAAAGACCAACATTGCCAAACTAGACAAAACACCAGAACTTAACTACATGCTGTTAATGAGACGTATCTAAATGGAAAGTTGCAGAAAGGTTGAAATTAATAAAATAATTAACTTCATTTATTAATTCTTTTATTAAATTTGAAAAGTTACAGAAAGGTTGAAATTAATATAATAATTAAAACCTGTATAATAATAAAATGAGGTTGATATAAGTAAAAGAATATCAGTCAGAAAAGCTTTTAGGTAAAGAGCATACTAGTAATAAGCAAGGTTATTTCTTGATTAAAAATTTAAGTAATCTGGAGGATATAATTATACAACAGAAGAGTAAAGAAGCTGGTACAAAAGAGTTTCAATGCACAAGTGACACATTTTAAGCTTTCTCCATATAAATCTTAATGTCTACAAGTACTAAAACTATAATGAGTAAAATAATGTTCTTAGGTGATATACAAAGTGAATCTGGTAGGTATCATTTAAATATCCAGTAATTAAATTCTGTTTGAGCTTTTATTTTGTTATTTTCCATTTTCCCATTACAACTCTAGCCCATTTGTTCTCCACCCACCATTGTTTTCAATGCGGAAGACCAAAAGTAATATTTTCTGAGTATAAACTAAAGTACAGCAGCGTGCTAGGCTCTTTGCCATATCACATCACTTTATAATACCCCTCATAATAAGGAAGTGGGTCTATTAGCTCCATTGTACACGGGAGCATAAAGGTGGGACAAGTTACCTAAGGTAAATATACAGGTACATAAGTCGTAGGTAAAGAAATGGAATCTGGGCACATTAAACCTTCTTTCTCCTTAGTCTCACTCCAACCTTTTTGCCATATTTGTGTTTTAGAGATTCAGGGTAGTATTGGAAACATACCTTATCTATGAATCAAAACATACGTGCTATCTCACAGTTCAAATATGTAGTCAATTTCTAGAAAAAATCTTATATGTAGGTACATATAAATACATATAGCTAATACATTAGTACATATAACTAATATAATTGTATATAATTATATATTATACAATATTGTTATATTTTTATTTTATTGTATATAATTATATACAATAAAATATATTATTTTGTGTATTATATTATTACACAATATAAATATAGTTATTAACAATTATATTAGTTATGTGTACCAACACATTATTATACAATTATATATATAATAAAAAACAAGAAATGAAACTTTCCTCATACCCTCTCCCAGTCATTGTCTTCCCTCTCTTTTTAACAACAACCAGTATTCTAACTTCTATTCACCAGTGAAGCCATTTGACTCAAGAATTTTCTCTGTGCATGGGGTTTTCATCACAGATTCAAGATCTATAATAAATATGGGTCTCTTCCAAGTTATTCCTTATTTATAAATAAATAATTATAGATTAGTTATATATAATTATAACAAATATGATATACATAAGCATAATATATATACTAAGCAAAAATTTAAACTCTAAAAATAAAATTGGAATACACACAATATTCCACCAAAAGGGTGAAATGTGGATGTTTTATGTGTGGAAGTCATCAGACAGCTGTGAAAACTGTCCACATTCAGTCTATTTTAGAAAGTCCTGTTCAGACTTTCCATAACAGAATTCATATGGTTTCAACAGCTCTTACCCAGCAAATTTTTAACAGATCTTCTCTCCATGTATTATTGTTCCTGTTTTTAAATAAACAATCATCTAATTTATTCCATGACTTCAAGAAGCATTTTCTAGGGCAGTCATCTTGATTCTATTTGAGATAGAATCTGTGTCTCCAAAATGTTTACACTTTCACGATATTGCTGAAATTTGGTTTATTAACATTTTAGATCAAAATACATATCCTATGTTTACACTCTTGTTTAAACAGCATCAATATACGGCCTATTTTTCCCTTTCTCTTATACTAACTTTTGTTCTATGAGGAAAAAGTAAAATGTCAAACAGAAAACAAAAAATGACAGTCCCGGACTTCTCTGTTACAAAAGAGTTAAAATAATTAAAATCTCTTTTCCCACATAAAGCTGTCAGTGTGGTAAATTCATATAGTGACAAGTCTGACTGAAATTTAGAATATGCTTAAAAGCAGAGTGAGAGCATGCTTAGGAACTGGAGGAAAATTTACTTCATGCTTTTTATAGACTGAATGTTTCTGTTCCTCTAAAATTCGTGTGTTGAAATCCTAACCTCTAATGTGATGGTATTAGGCAATGGGGATTTGGGAGATAATTGGGTCATGAGGACAGAGCCTCCAAGAATCAAATTCGTACCTTTATGAATGAAACCCCAAAAAGTTTGTTTGTCCCTTCTGCCATGTGAGGCTAGAGCAAAAAGAAAACCATCTATGAACCACAAAGTAGGCCCTCACCAGACACTAAATCTGCCAGTGCTTTGATACTGGACTTCAAGGCTCCAGAACTATGAGAAATAAATTGCTGCTTTTTATAAGCCACCTCATCTGGTATTTCGTTATAATAGTCCAAACAGACTAAAACAATACCATTCAACATTCAAGAAATTTTCATAAATTAGAAAAAATGCAGTGTGCTTTATCATAAGAAACACGATTAAATCACTTAATCATTTAATTCTCAAATTCAACAATCAACATGGTGGCTCTTCAAATCACTGAATTTATTTTCTTGGTACTATTTGGGTCACTGCTAAATTGGTGAACACAAAACTACAGAAGATATTATAATATACATGTTCAAGATTAATCCCACTTGGTCACAGTGAATGATCCTTTTAATGTGCTGTTAAATTTGGTTTGCTAGTATTTTGTTGAGAATTCTCACATCTATGTTCACCAAAAATATTGACCTGTAACGTTCTTTTCTTGCAGTCTTTGGCTTTCGTATCACGGTAATGCTGGCCTTATAAAATTTTTCTCTGCAAGGTTAGTGAATAAAATATTTAGGTTAAGAATACGTGGAGGTTGACCTCTGTAGTTGTATGATAATCTTGTTTGATAAATGCATTCTTAGTTTTGAGGGATAGACCAGGAAGAGAAGTGAATTGCTTATTGAGGGGCAGAAGACTTCTAGTTAAGACATGAGCTTCACTAACTAACGGCATTCCTGGATTAGCCAGGAGTGAGTATGATCTCAATCTATGTTTGAAAAGTCTACTGAAAAGTTGCCCCTCTGTTTTACCCCAGGGGATTCATGCACAGGATTAATTTTCCTAAAGCATAATTGATCAGTGCAGTCCTGATAGTGCTCTGAGACTTCCTGGGAAATATTATTAACTCAGGATTGACATTCAGCTGCTGTATACCAGTAAGGGTAGAAATAAATTCATGCCGGTTGGTAAGCTGCAGCACTGAGCCCCTGCTGCCAACAGTTCCTCGTATCCTAAGCAGTCTCATATAGGTGGAAGGCAGGTCTGCTGTGAAATCTGCCAGCTTGCTTGCTCCACCCAGCTTCTTGTGGCTCTTGAATGTATGCGGCCCTCACCAAAATGAACCTAGACCCTGGAGGAGGGAGACTGTTCTCATGGTGGTGGCAAATGGTATCCATTAGGAAAATGTCTAGAGCTGATCTAGCCCACTGGCTGGGGCTTCCTCACACAGTGACATCTTATAAAAACTATGACTTTACTGTGTATGGTATCTGTCATTAACTATCCTGACCATCACCCCCGCACATTATTTATGCTTACAAATAGGATGGAGTGTGGCATTTGTCCATGTTCCATCTTAATTGCAAGCCTAAATAATTTGAGATGCTGGTGATTCCTGATTGATAACTTCAGCCTGACCTGAAAATGGTGAACAGAAGGAAGAAAGACATTAAGCATAGAAGGCACCCAGGCTTATGTAAGACAAACTTGAACAACTTCCGACATCAATTTTGTATAACTACAAGGCTTGTTACTTCATTTAGTCACCCAAGTTTAATTTGAAATCAACTGCCACAGATTTCTCTACTCTCAGTAATGAGAGGCAATTTGTTCAAGAGCCTTGTTATCCAAGAACCTTTAAGTGCACATACCATCAGCACAGTGGGAGCACTATTATTTTTAAAGTTAAAAATGATACCATCATATTTTTGTTATGTACAATTTTATTGCTCTACATTTTCATCATTAACTCCAGCTAGCTAAAACAGAGCCAGCACCTAATTCAATTCTAAGGTCTTTGCAGGCTTTCATTTTAGTTGTGCTTCAGAAGTAAATGCTGAATACTTTTAAATGACAATATGCCATGTGAATAGGACCCTTTGTTCACCTTATCAAGAAAACAATGGAGAGTGATAAGAAAGGGTATCCTTTCACCCACAAACCATTAACTAAACAAATAGAAAATGTAAAATGCAATTTCAAAAGTGGAAATGATAAAAAAAAAAAAGGAACTATACCTGCTGTAGATCCAGTGTAATTGTCACATAATGGTATTCAATTCCATTCTTAATACTGGGACTCTGCCACCAAGTATTCTTTCCATCAATAGCGTTTGTAATTGGGTGTCTCTCTATTGAGTTGGAGGAAAAAAGATTATGTAATTAATTTATAGTTGTTTCTTTAAAGTAAAAAAAATAAAACTGTTAAAACAATCATTATGTGGATATCAAATATTAAAATAATACAAAAAGAGAGCAATTCAGATTCTCAACAGAATTTCTTCAAGACAGCTGTCTCATAGAACCATACAAGGTAGTGGGAAATGATTAAATGCTTAGACTGCAGGAGAATGAGCTGGTCAACACTCTGGCCATCAACCAAAATGGGCAACTTTAAAGGTAACTACACAAATTAAGTGTAAAGTGTAATATAATTTAATATTATATAATATTAAAATCTAATTGATGTGTCAATCATTCCAAAAAGCAATAACTATTTGAGACAGCTCTAGTATGCCATCAACCTTGTTAACAGAAACATAAAATCCTGACGTGTGGTTGAAAGATACTTGAATACTTGCCTTCTGACACATTCATTTTTATCAAGAGTTGGAGAGTCCAATATGTATCTGGCTTTAACATAAAATTCTGTTAAATTTATTCTATGAGATATTGAGACTCAGAAACCAATATCCTGAAAATATGGCATCCTGGTATGCTGATTATTTTAAATGAAAGGCTCTTGGAGACCAGCAAATGCTGAAATAAGTTTGACTCTGATACTCCTTTGTCTGCTTACAGTCTGATCTCACCAAGAAGAAAAGAATTCCCTCTGGCCCTCGTGCTAAGTTTTCATTAATTTAACTTATTTTCACATGAAGAGAGACTGAAGTCTCTGAACACACCTGAACAGACTTCTGTTAAAAACCACTGTCTGTTCTGTGGGCCCAAAGACTTTGTCCCAGGCCATTGTATGGGTCTTGAATTCCCCTGAAAATCATTTACTGTTTTCCAAATTGCCATATTTTCCCCATCTCCCCTTCCTTGTGAAGAAGGGTGTGTCTACATCTATGTCCCCATTGGGTTATCAGGGTAATCATCCTCCTGTGATTCTTCCATGTGGTGCATGTTAAAATAAATTCTGTATGCCTTTCACCTACTAAGCTAACTCTTTTCAGTTGATTTTTCGGCAAACCTTCATAAGGCAAACGGGAAGTTTTCCCTTCGCCCTTTCAGAAGATTTTTGCAGCCAGCCTTTATCTTGCCAATTTTCTACCACTATTTAATAATATGATGAAAGATAACCCAAACCTCCCAACCAGCATTTGCCTGTTGGCATCATCACTAAGTCTAGCGGAGGAATCTTTACAATAACGGCAAGCAAGGAGACGATGACACATGAAACTCCATCTACCAAAAAACCACAGATCTCCTACTTTCACTCCAGACATTTGAGAATAGGATCAACTGTGAAAATCAAAAGGGAGACTGCAGATGGAAAATAGGAGGTGTGGCAACCCTGAAAACCTGTGATCCTTGTTGCAGCTCCCTTCCTTCTCACAGTCCTCAAAGCTCACAATCCTTGTCTCTTCCCATTTCAGCTCTGCCTGTCTCACAAGAGCAGCAACTACTCCTGGGCTGCCAAGCCTTCACTGCATTTTGGTTCCCAGTCATTGGTGCTTGTCTGAAATCTTTGCTTCTCATTTCCACATAAGATAAGGTCTTTTTCTTTCTCCTCGTCTAAATAGACCTTGCTCACACATGAGTGAGAATGACAAGAGTGGAGGTTGTCGATGATCCTGTTTCTATTTCCAAGGCTGCAGTAAGGGAACTTAAGTTCCTCACATCTCACTGGAAAGTCAGCACATTTGCCCATTGAAATGTAAAGTGGAGGTGAACTTCCCTAAACTCCTCTGTTTGTTATAAATTAAGGATGCTTTGGGTCATCAGTCCTGAGAACTTTCATCAAACTAATTATCTGGGAAGAAGTTTCAAATGAGTGGCTTATGAACAGCCTTTTAGATTAGAATACAATCCCCTTTAAATTTGAAGGAATACCTCAAATAATGAACAAATCACACCACTATAAGGAACAAACTATGGACTCTCAATTTTCCTACCTAATATTGCAATCTAGCCAAGTATTCTAATAATATTGGTGATGAAAGAGAGGGGGTAGCTAGATATTCCTCCTGGCCCCACCAGCACGTAACTGACCACAGTTAGTAGGTAACTGACCACAGACAAATCATTTCAACACTATGTGTCTTCTCTGATATAGGAATAACAAAATTCCACTCACGGCAGGGGTTTCCAGATTCATCATCTTCAGAAAAAAAAAGTGAAGTTAAACATAAATGTGTGGCAGATTTGTGAAATTGATATAGGAGTTCTAGCTTTTAGTTTTTCCAAGTAGTAATAACCTCCAATCTACATCTATCACTTAATAAAGCATCATTATTATTTCATAAAATAAAGGGCATTTAAAAACCTACAAGTTTTTTAAAAACCATAATATCAAAATGGAGAACAATTATTTAAAATGTATTCTATTTTCATGAAAAATGTGAGAAGTTGTTCTCAATTTCTTACTTTGCCATGGACCAGCAAAAACATCTTGAATGTGAATCCTTTATTCACAGGGTTACTGATGAACAGTATAACTATGAACATTCTAACCATTACTATGCATATACATAAAATGAGTGATACATCTGTTCAAAATGTATTATCCTAAATCTTAATTAGAGACAAGTTGCATTTAGTAAAAACATTTGAAAAAACAATAAAAATAAAGCAAAACTAAGCCCTCAAAGCAACAGGAATCTGATAGTAAAGTAAAATCATCCTTAAAAGAAAAATTTTATTAAAAGATGAATATTGGCCAGGTGCAGTGGCTCACACCTATAATCCCAGCACTTGGGGAGGCCAGGGTGGGTGGATCACTTGAAGTTAGGAGTTCAAGACCAGGCTAGTCAACAGAGTGAAACCCCGTCTCTAGGGGTAAAAAAATAAATTAGCCAGGCATGGTGTCAGTCACCTGTATTCCCAGATACTTGGGAGGCTGAGACAGGAGAATCACTTGAACCCAGGAGGCAGAGGCTGCAGTGGGCTGAGGGTGACAGAGCAACTCCATTTCAAAAAAAAAAAAAAAAAAAAGCTGAATATTCACTAAATTTGCCATTTTCAGATTTGTGAATGTTTTTATTATATATCAATTTCTATTAAATGCAAATATGTATTAATACAAATTAATATATGATTTATTTATATAAATAATTATATATTATTTGTAATTAATATGTAATAAATTGTAATAACATTTACTGAAAACATAAGGCTGTGTTTTGAGTTATTTATGGTATAATAATCTTATTCCAGATATGGATATTCATATTGCAAATCTTAATATGACTGTATAGGACAGGGCAAAAATATTTCATTGTTATTAGTAAATTTTTAAATTCAACTTAACAGCTGGCTGGACTTTATTTTCCACCAGATCATCATGTTAGCTCTCCATGGAGATGAGGCTTTCTGTCTCATTAACGAAAAGTGTAATTGCTGAATATATTTAAATATTAGCGTTAGTTCAATTTTTCTGTTGAAGCTAGGAAAATGTCAGGTCTTTATGATGACAGCAAATACCAGAAGCATAACTAAATACCAAATAAATGACCCTGGTAACATAAGGGGGTGCTGTAATTGGCATATAGGGAATCAAAACCATAAATGAAATATTATTGGCACTGCTTCTGAAGAAAAATAAATATCACAGAAAACATTCCCCAAATATCCTCCTGAATCTTTTTTACAGATTGTGAGTTTAATATGTGATAGAAAAAATACACACACAACCCCATTTCTAAATCAAATTCACGGCTCATAGGTAATTGTGAGAGAAGTTGTCTAATTGGAAATTTTGATATCTGCCACCTCAGGTCAAATTGATAAGAGAATTAGTCATGAAAAGGAGGACTGGGAGATGAATGAACAATTAACCATAATCCCTATTATGAAAGTTTAATCATAATTAATTTGCAAATACTGATGAATTGTTGGCATAATTCCCTTATTTAAAAGGAGATGGAAACGTAAAACATCCTCAACAGGGATAAATATGTAAGTCAATTCAAAGGCTAACTGCAACTGAAAACTAGATAGGGAATCTTTGATGAGGTAAACCTTTCAAACTGCTAGTTTTTAATTGGAAAGCAAAGTATATTAACAGTCAACAAGTTCAAGGTTCATTCTCTTTGCAGGGTGTTTAAGTACAGACCTTCCATATTTATTCTCAGAGTTCACTGAATTTGTAGAATTTTATCATCTGTTCCTCCGACTTTTACTAAAATATATTCATACAGTTTACTGCTAGATTTTTATTCTTGTGGGGTTTTATTCTTTCTAAATTTGTAGTACCAAAGCATAATTTGCAAATGTGGATTGAATCTGGTCATTTAAAAATAATCATGTAGGTCAGGCACAGTGGCTCACCCCTGTAATCCCAGCACTTTGGGAGACCGAGGTAAGCAGATCTCCTAAGGTCAGGAGTTTGAGACCAGCCTGGCCAACATGGTGAAACCCCATCTCCCCTAAAATTACGAAAACATTAGCCAGATGCAGTGGTGCCTGTCTGTAGTATCAGCTACTCAAGAGAGGCTAAGCCTGGAGAATCACTTGAACCTGCAAGGTGGAGGTTGCAGTGAGCTGAGATCGCGCTGCTGCACTCTAGCCTAGATACCAGACTCTGTCTCAAAAAAATAAATAAACAAAAATAATAATGACAATCATGCAAAGTAAATCCAGACTGTGACAAGTTTAAAAATCACTACTGGCAAATAAAAATGGAGAAATATCATAACTTATATACATCTTGCTTTTCTGAAATCGTTTATTTTTGGTTTCAGTGTGGAAAAACATGGGTAGTATTGCCTGAATATAGATATCATCCATGAGATAAAAGGTACTCTGAATGTAGAGGGTGAAAGACAGAATAGCTTTCAGGAGGGTGAAAGACAGAATAGCTCTTGAACTCAATTTGACAAATGTATTTCATCCATTTTTCCAACTAAGAATAAAAATAATTGAATGGAGAACTCAATTATTTTCTACCCCAATATTTATATCATTCTGCATCCCATTTTTATGATTGTAATCATTTTTCTTTCTCTCCTTTCCTGTGTAAATATTGTATATACATATGTACATATTATTGTATATACATAATATTTATACTTATTTATGTACATATAGTATTTACATAAATTTGTTTAACATTATAATTATGTGTATATTATGCAACATATCATATATTTAATGTTTAATTTAAATATCAGTTTAATAATTACATAAGTATATTTATATACCTGCATACATATGCACATATTTATGGTTTTGCCTATTTTATCTCTCTAATTCTCCCTGTCTGCACAGCCCATCCTAAACACACATCTACACACCCGAACCTCCTCCCCACAACTCCGTTCATGCCCCCAGACTTTCTCACGTTCTCCATGAACTTATCAAGGCCAGCAGTCCCTGAACCAATAATGGTTTTCCCCCATCAGGCTTTAGTGTCTTGCCTAATGAACCTGAAACTAATAATCCATCAATTCATTTACTTTCTGCCCTTTTCTTCAATTTTCTTGCCATCTTCTTCCATTTCACTTTTCCTGTAATGCTCCAAGAGTATCAGTTCAAATGTTTGATTCTTTATTTTACTCCATATGGAATTGCCACTTTATTCTTATTATGGCTCAGTGATTCCCTCCTATTCCCCTGAGAGGCTCATAATCTAAATGTTTGCCTCTTGCCTCAGCAGGTAACCCAGATTTATATCTTAATGAAGAAATCAAGATCATCAAATAAGAAATTCCTCCCAATACTTTCTGCTGTCTGCTGCTATTTATCCTTCCTTCTTTCTGATTTGGTGAATTAAAAGTACTTATCTTCTAATATAAGTTTTTCACCTATGCTTAATGACCCAAATGTTTTTACTTCTAGAGAGATATCACCCCTACCACTACTTTGTTGCCAACTTCCCTGGCCTTCTCACTAAGCATCTAAACTAGCTCAAACGTCTCTTACCTTTGAAAACTTTTCCAGCTCCACAGCCTCCTCTGCCCTTCATTCTTTCACATCAAGAATACTTGAGAGAATATTTCTATATACACCTCTTCTTCTTCCTCATTCATTTACTAAATCTGCTGAGTACTTTAGCAAGGTGATCAATGGGTGGCATTGTCAAAAGCAAGTGAAACCTATTTTCTTACTCAATTATCTTGGAAGCATTTAAGATTGCTGATTGTTTTTTCTTCCTGACAGTTCTTTCCTTCATCATGTATCCAATGCCTCATTTTCCTGATTTTTTCCCCCTGGAAATCTGTTTCCCTCTATTGCCTTCCTTGACTGCATTTACCTGAAATTCCTTGGCTTTTACGTAAAAGCAAAAGGCTCTGATGTATGTCCTTTGCTCTTGCATTCTATAGAAAAAATAGCAAACATTTGAGTAAGCAACAATACTCCCCACTCCTATACACATATCGTAACAACTTATATCCTAGAAATTAACCAGAGTCAGCTGGGCGCAGAGGCTCATGCCTACAATCCTAGCACTTTGGGAAGCCGAGGCAGGCGGATTACTTGAGGTCAGGAGTTTGAGACCAGCCTAACCAACATGGAGAAACCTTGTCTCTACTAAAAATACAAAATTGGCCACTCATGGTGGCACATGCCTGTAATCCCAGCTACTCTGGAGGCTGAGGCAGGAGAATCGTTTGAACCTGGGAGGGGGAGGTTGAGGTGAGTCGATATCCTGCCACTGCACTCCAGCATAAGCAACAGAGCGAGACTCCATCTCAAAAAAAAAAAAAAAAAAAGGAAAGAAATTAACCAGAAATTAACCAGAATCATTAATAGGTAAGGAAGGTTTCTGGTTTCTGGTGGTTGCCTTCTTTGGTGTCTTAACATGTGTTTTTCTAACATTCTGTGATACACATGACCACCAATTTTAATCACGCAATTCCCAATTCCTCATTATATAATTTAGGAATGTAGAAAACATTACTGTATTTGAGGAATTGGGACTTGTGTGAATGACTAAACCCTAATGCAGTCTATGAACTTTGGATGATAATGTCAATGTAGATTCATGGACTGTAACAAATGTAGCACTCTGGAGGGGGATATTGATAATGGAGAAGGCTACACATGTGTTGGGGCAGGGGATATATGGGAAATTTCTATACTTTTCTCTTAATTTTGCTGTGAACCTCAAACTTTTCTAAAAATAAAGTCTATTAAAAAGGACAGAGAAAAAATATTGAGCAAATTTTGAAATAATTGTGAAGCTTTAGCCCCATCATAGTTCACCTCAATTGGCATACAGTTTTATTAAACTCTTTTCTCTCTCTCTACATATACACACACTCATATATATATATATATATATATATATATATACACACACATATATATACACACATATATATACACATATATATAAAATATGAATCTACCTTTTTATATATTCTATATAAAATAATATTAATAAAAAACTACTTTTGAGAGGCTGAGGCAGGTGGATCGCTTGAGATCAGGAGTCTCAGACCAGCCTGGCCAACATGGTAAAATCTCATCTCTACTTAAAATACAAAAAATAGCCAGACGTGGTGGCACATGCCTGTAGTCCTAGCTACTTGAAAGGCTGAGGCAGGAGAATCACTTGAACCTGGGAGATGGAGGTTGCCATGAGCTGTGATTGTACCACCGCACTCCAGCCTGGGTGACAGAATGAGACTCTGTCTCAAAAGCAAAATAAAAATAAAAATAAAATATATACCTATGTATTAAAAAATAATATAAATATATATCTATCTTTTTCTGTAGATTACATATAAGTATATTTCCACCTTTTGTATATATTATATATAGAGACAGAGAGAGAGAGTTAGGGTGGAGAAGAGAAGAAGGCATGTCAGAAAGATAGATGTAGATATATCTAGATAGAGATATATAGATATAAAGATTCCTTATCCAGGAATCTTTAGATGACCTTAGCATCCACATGGAGCATTCATGTTCCTTTAGCACCAAATTTACTTTTCTTTTGCCTCCATTTCCCCTCTAGGTTTTCTGAATCAGGGATTATGTGTCATTCAATATTATGCTCCAATACAATGCATTGCTAGTAGGAGGTGTTCAAAGGCTTGTTGAATAAATACATCAATGAGTCTGAGGTATTGCTGTGGTTCATAGAGGCCAGAAAGAGGGCTTTGCATGGTGCCTCTCCCTAAATCACTTCTCCTGTGGTTGTTAAATGCCTTCATAATCTGGCTCCAGCCTTCTGCTCTAGGCTCATCTCCACACTACCCTGTGGCCCTTTCAGTTCTAGTTATTCCTAACTAATTGAAGCTCCCTGAGTAACTAGGATTTTCTGTGTAATTCTGATTTCTCTTCCTAACAAGACTTCTCCTCTTCCCTTCCATCACTTCTTTACCTGTTTAGCTCATACTCTTGTTTAGCTCATAGTCTTAGTTATCAGCTTGGATAGCACTTCTTCTGGCAATCCTTACTTACACCAAGACTGACTTTGTGGCCATCCTCTTCCGCAGAACCCTGTGCGCATTCTTTGTTTTCTACTTACCACACTGTTTATCAGAAGCTCAAAGACCATACCCTAACTTATTCCTCTTAGATCTTAGGCACAATATGTGGCACATAAATTCCAATGAATGATGATAGCCTGAGTTAATAACCACATCCTCAGAAACCATTCTGGTATCTGAAGCTAGCAAACCCAATGACTGCCACAGGCCTTCAGATGGCAAATCATCTCCAATCACTGTACTTGGTACATAGAAAAACTCCCATCATGTTTGCTGAATGACAGAGAGGGCACTGGAAGTAGCTTATAGTGGGAAAAAGAATTCTAAGGATTATAAACTCTTTGAATTTAATGCAACTTGACCTCAACATCTCATAATTATAGATCCTACCCAGTGCCACACAGAATACACATTAAAATACATACGGTTTGGATTGCTGCTGTTTTGATTGCAGATACGACACTGGGGGTTCCTCACAGGCTGCCCAGGGACGTGTTCTACCAATTTGCAGTACATTTCAGGCCCCTTTTCTCCGCATGTCGCATTGGTCGTGATAAGAGCATTAGAAGCAAGATTCAGGACCGCAGGGAATAAACCTGAAAAAGATGGGCAGATGAAGGTGTGTATATCAGAAACTAAGTTATGATTTTGAAGCATTTTAAAATGCAATTGAGATAGGATATTTCTCAATGCATTAAACTAACCCAAAATGAATGAGTTAGTGATAAAAAAAAAAAACCTGACAATTCAGTATACTGTATAAATACTATGTGTTATCAAAAGAATATTATTTTTCTTTCTGGGTCTTAAATATGGACTTTAAGACTCTTTTTAATTTTTTACCTAAGGCTTTTTGTTTTTAGCATTTACTTAGCAAGAAGGTCCTGTCTCTAGGATACACTCTAAAAACATATAAAAAATCTTCTGTTGAAGTTATTGGAAAAATATCTCACTAAATCTTCCATCTTCCATTTCAGCTATTTTATATCTAGTATTAAGACATAATTGCATGTTAATGTTTCTGCACAGCTATGCAAATATGTTTTTCATGGTCATTTCATGCTCCAGTTGTCTTTTATTGTAAATAATTATTAAAACTTCTTATCTCAAGACTAGAGAAGACAGAGAATGATAATTTTGGAAAGCCATTTTTTACTGCTTTCCCTGCTATCCAGCAATATTATAAAGACATATATTGCCAAAAACAAGTCATCATAGTAGTCTGTGATCATACACCAGTAATTATATCTTAGGTATCATAGAAGTGTTTGACTTTCATAGATACAATCTCAGAAATCCATCTAAGTGTAGTCTAGGGAGATTTTTTATTCCCTTTGAGAACCAAATTCAGTCTCTTTTCTTCATGTAACTTAATGTCAATTCTGCTCATACATGTCTAATGTTTGCATTTTATAGACCCCTTTTTAATAACAGTATATAGCAAAGCCACTCACTAAAAGCCACTCTTATATTGAAAAATCTGTTTTTGGAAAAAGAACATTTGAGATTACAGATAATTTGACTCTACTTATGGATGGAACATGCTGACCATCTAGGTTGTTTCAGCTCTATATATGTGCCAAGTAGGTCTATATCAATTCAACTTCTGATAGAAAGTCCTTCCTGGCCAGGCACAGTGACTCACACCTGTAATTCCAGCACTTTGGTAGGCTGAGGCAGGTGGATGACCTGAGGTCAGGAGTTCGAGACCAGCCTGACCAACATGGTGAAACTAAAAATACAAATATTTGCTGGGCTTGGTGGCAGGTGCCTGTAATCCCAGCTACTCGAGAGGCTGTGTAAGGAGAATTGGTTGAACCCAGGAGGCAGAGGTTGCAGTGAGCTGATATTGTGCCACTGTACTGCACCCTGGGAGACAGAGCAAGACCCCATCGAAAAGAGAAGGAAAGCGGGGGAGAGGGGAGGGAAGGGAGAGGTAGGAGGGGAGGGAAGGGAGGGAAAGGGGAAGGAGAGGGGAAAGGGGAAGGAGAGGGGAAGGGGAAGGAGAGGGAAGAGGAAGGAAGGGGAGGAGGAAGGGAAGGGCAGGGGGAGGAGAGGGAAAGGGAGGGAAGGAAAGGGCAGTGAAGGGAGGGGAGGGGAAAGGGAAGGGTGAGGCAGACCTTCCTGACTAAATCTCATGGCTTGATATTTTACTGAGATCCCTAGATCTTGAATTTGTGTTTTCTGCCTTGTCTTCAAAGCTTGTCACATAGTAGGGACTGAGTAGGCACTCAATGTATTTGTAAAATGAATGAATAAATAGATTGCAGATTATAAATATTAGACTCATAAATGTCTGCAACATCTGCACACAATAATTATTATAATCATAATAGCCAGCATGATTGAATATTTGCAATGTACCAAGCACTATTGTCAGAAACTGTTCCTACATTACTTTTCTGCATGGACTGATTCGCTACAGAAAACATACACACGAGCTTCATACCACTATTACCTCTAATTTATTACAAAGGCACAGAGGTTTAAGTAACTCGCCCATGATTACAGCTAGCAAGTAGCAGAGCTATGATTTGAACCGAAGTAATCTGGCTCCAGAGTCTATCCTCTTAATCACTCCACTGAATGTCATCTACCATGTTGTATGAAACCAACATAAATCTAGTGCTACCTTGCAGAGCTAGTTGACCTTAGAATTGCATTGAAAGAAACAAAAAAGAAAAAAAAGAAAGTAAATCAGGAAGATTTTTATAATATTTGATTATTAGACTTGTACGTATTGATTATTAAAATTTATTCTCTGCCAAAAGAGATAATAGTGCATAAAAATTACAATTACAAATAATTTAAATCTTTATTGTAATCACTTTCAAAAATTCCACAGGTAAATGAATTCAAAAGATCAAGTGACAAGTCAGTTTTTGTCTCAATCATTCTTAAGATCTCCCAAAGAGTTGCACCCAAATAATTTTTTCTCTCTTTTTTTTTCCCTCCCAATACATACATCTTTAAAATCCGTTGATTCCATTCCTCCAAAATAGTGCCTCCCACTCTCATTTGCCTTCTGGCCTTGTGTTTTTCTCCTGCTGAAAATTAAGGTTTCCAATTTTTCCTGATTTGCCAGTGGTACTTGCTTTTTCACTTAATCACTATTTCATTTATTGTTCCTGATAAATTTATTCCCCCCTCCAACTCTGTGCTCTCTGTCCCCCACATAATGAGACATTCTGTCAATGTGACATGAGGAAAGCTAATGTAATCATTGGTCAGAGAAATATTAAACATTCATAAGCTATTATTTATTTCATGAGACAATGTAGTGTTTTATAAAAACTAGAATACTATACAAAAGTTTTTACCTTATAAAGCTTAGTGGAAACTTTCTAACAATTTTGTGGAGTTTGTTGGGTTACAAATTTAAAAATAATTAGATGGTCTCCACAGCATTATTTTAGACATTCTATTTTCTAGGTTAGTAAGTGATATATGATTAAACGAAGTTTGTCTGTATATCTTTCTCTTTTATCATTCATCACCAGTTTTGTACTTAACTGTACAACTATTTTTTTCATCAAATATGTTTTGAGCATATATCATGCCAGAAAGTAAAGGATCTGAGAATAAAAATATTACAAAGATGGGTTTATCACTGGAAAGAATCTTGAGCTGAATTTTCAAGGAGAGATGGAAATGTATCTGGTAGGGAAAATGAATAAAGAAAAAACAAGCATATCAGGCAGGCAGAATGGCATATGAGTATGGTCTCTAGGCTGAAAGCATATATGAATGATGAGTGAGTCAGAGTACTTAAATTTGTCATTGTTTCAATATATAAGATTGTGCAATTGTCTGCATATAGATGTGGATATAGATACAGATACATATAGGTTACACATTTGAATATACATAATGGTTGATATGGTTTAGCTGTGTCCCCACCCAAATCTCATCTTGAATTGTAGCTCCCATAATCCCTACCTGTTGTGGGAGAGACATGGTAGGAGGTATTGGATCATGGCAGAAGGTGACAGGTCCTTCTCATGCTGTTCTTGTGATAGTAAATAAGTTTCCTGAGATCTGATTTTTTTTTAAAGGGGAGTTCCCCTGTACACACTCTCTTGCCTGCCACCATGTAAGACATATCTTTACTACTTCTTTGCCTTCCACCAAGATTGTGAGGCCTCCCCAGCCATGTGGAACTGTGACACCATTAAATCTATTTATCCTTATAGATTACCTAGTCTTGGGTATGTCCTTACTAACAGCATGAGAATGGATGAATATAGTGGTGCACTTACTTACATATTAACATAAGCCACTGCTTATTTGTCACTGTTAGTAATTTGTTCTAGTGGATTTTTCTCCAGTTCTTTAAAAATTTAATTTACAGTATAGAAAAATAGGTAGTAAGAATGAAGAGACATTCTGGGAATTCTGTTTCAAGAGGGCAAAATTATACTTCTCTTGCTGGCTTATATGATGAGTTCAAGTAGTCAAGCTCCATCTGGTCCCTTCAAAGACAGCCAGCTTACACAAAAGCCATCCCAGGCAGGTGCTAACATTTCTAAAACTTCCCCAGGGCATTGTGAGTTTTTCTCTTGGATTTTCGCCTCCTCCCTCAGCACTGACTAGTTCTGATCCTGACCATGGCCTCAGTACTGTTTGCCGGTAAGACTCCTGTGCCCTGCTTTGGTGAGCCCTGAAAGACCTGATTGGAGCAGGCCAGGTCTGTACTTTCCCAAGCCTGAGCAATCATGAAAGGAAGCCAAAGAGAGAAGAAAACAGGGAAAAAGTATTTTATTTATGTTGTATGTTCAGAAAATATAGAATTGAATTATATGCCAATTATCCCACAGAATTAAATAAAGAAAGCGAAATCACACAGATACAAAGGGATTACAGAGATAGAAGAAACATTGGTTCCGAAGCTTTTTTACATTCTTCATCTTATCTAATTCTTGTATAGCCCATTGTATAAATTTTATTAATTCCACTTTATAAATTAAGGAAATGCAGATCAGAGAAGATAAATAGGAAGTTATGAATTAATTTTGAATTAGTAAGATTGATAACTGTAATTTGAAGTGAGCTCTTTAAAAACTTACAAGACTTCTTGTCAGGGCCCAAAGAAGAACCAAAACTGGTCCTTGGCAAAGCTTATTTAAATCTTTAATAAAATAAACAACTTATCCCTCACTATTCCATTGTTGCTTCATAGAGTTTTCTAACCATAAAACTAAAAATACAAATAAAATTTACATTTAGCATCTTTCAATTCTTTGATTTGTTTCTATTACAGTTATTGATTATGTACTCAAAATTAACCTTTGCACAATTTAATTGCCTTGTTTTATGGTCAGGGAACAGTTGCTTTATGAAATTTCATCAGCTATTTTGCCATTTATTTTAAAAAATCAGTTAAACATATTGGTCAGTGAAGGTCTCCAATTAGTTGCTAATGACCAATTTGAAGAGTGAATCAATAACCGAGCTTCTATTGAATCTTCAGCATGTTTTATTATAGATTGCAACCCATTTTCATTATATGTCAGATCTATTATGTTGTCCCTACTTATTCCCATTCAAAAGCACCAAGGTAATATTTATTTCCGTATTCAATATGTGTTACTTGGTT